TTGCACTTTTCTTGGCAAGATTTCTAAACACTTACTGAGCTTTCACACGAACACAGCAATATCCCAACCCTTGTGCATGGATTAAGCCATTTAATCATCCCAACAACCTTCTGAGGCCCAGAGAGGTTAAGCAATTGGTTCAAGAGAACAACACATCAGCCAAACCCAGAGCTGGATTTCAAATCAGACAGCCTGGCTCTAGAACCTGCATTTTTAGCTTGTTTGGATAGTGGACCTGCATAGTACCTCTTCTTCACCCTCTTCCTCGGCTTTCTGACCTCTGTGTAATGGGACCATGCATTTCAGCTGAAAATGAAGGATCCACCAGCCAAAGCCACCAAGATACACCATGCCAGAAGTCAGTTCAGTGATCCCCAAAACACAGGCAGCTCTCAATAATACTCTTAACCGAGTGGTCATATTGTAGGATTTTTCTTGACCCACTATTATGCTCTTTCCCTTGGCCAACAAGTGAACAGAACATTAAAAAAACAGACTCCAAAATGACTCTTTTTATGCACTCCTGGAGGCTGTCCTTTGAGATGATGAAACCTCAGTCAGGTAGTCACCACCCTAAATAATGCACCAGCCTCTCACCAAGAATCAGTAAGGCACAGACAGTTCACTGGGCCCATTATCCTGCATGGTTCATAAGTGGGTATTGTGATTAATGCTGTTTGGAGGAACACCCCATAGTAAGAGTCAGTAATTACTGAATAGAGAATAGGTAGATGGAAAACCAAAATGTATTCATGCATTGAATTGCTGCAACACCTTGATTCCCAGAGATTTTGTCCACTGTGACTTTCACAGGTCCACAATAACAAGTACAGCAGAGGTGTGGGAGATAGAAACCCCAATTTTCAGAAAGCTAGAGGGCTCAAAGAGCTTGTTTGTAATCACATGAATCAATTCATTCCACATTTATTATTTACTGTGTGTCACACAGTGCTAAGAACACAGTATATAAAAGAAGTTCACTAACTGGAGGAATAAATATAAAAGACCAATTATCTTGCAATAGGAAAAGTGAGAAGCAAGAAGGCTACCCAGAGGAAGTGACACTAGAGTTGAGTCTTGCAGTTGAGGAGAGTTTTTTCCAGTGAGAAGAAGGGGGACAGAACAGCACAGGTTGAGGAAAGAGCATACAACACACTTAGATATGGAGTCAGTGATCTTTTCAGAAAATTGCACAGCAGATATGGAAGATCTTGCCTGCTATTCAAGGGAAAATAAATGGGCTTTCTCCCAGAGCCTGTAGGGAACAGAGCAACATTTTAAGTTTTTAAAGTGCCTGGTCATGAGCAGATCTATGCCAAAGATGCTCTCTGGACCACTCAGGACCATCCGTCCCTTGCAAGTCTGTGCTCTGAAGGGTCTTCACTGCATGCAGGGGACTACAGTCACACCACATGTAACTTTATTCCTCACTCTCCCTCCTTCCCAAAGCCTGGGGCATCTTCCCTGTGCTTCCCTGTGAAAGAACTCTGTCCTCCTTGCCTCCCCATCACTGCATCCTCCCTTTCAAAGTATTCCTCTCCTCAGACTCTTCCTCCACTCGCATTCACTCATGGTGTCTTGCTAGAAATGGCAAGAGCAGGACAAAGAGCAAGGTATCAGAAGCGTGCCCAGCCTGTGCACCAAGGCTGGCTTAGCCACAGGTGATGTGCCTAACGTCAGCCTCAGGGGACAAGAACTGCATATTAACCTTTGCTTAGCTGGAAAGATTATTCTTAAGAATGAAATGAAAGAAAGAGTTTACAAACAACACCAGCAGACAGCAGATAAAGGTGCTATGGATTATCCAGCACCGCTGTCCACTGGACAGCAGGTTCTTGAGAACAGAGACCAGATGGGTTGGATCTTGAGTACCTACTCATTCTTGGTAGAGTGAATGCTTGACAGCAGAGGTGGAATCGCCAACCAAGACCATGACCATCGTGACCCTCACCACCCACGAACACAGGGATGCCCCCTGTCCTGTGCTCCATATACGCAGGCGAATCCACAATATGCAAGTTTGGGAAGCCCTGCTTTCCTCCTGGATTATCCCAAAGATAGCCAGTTCCTGGAGGAGAACCAAGTGGGAGTCACGCTGCCTGGATGCCTCCACTGAGCACGTTTGACGAAGTCTGAGTTTACTCCTTCTCCCAAGAAGTTGCTGAGAGCTGAGCCTCTGCCTGCTCCTCCTCCTCCCCTAGCCACTGTCTCCAAGGAGCCCCAGCCGGATGCTGCTACCCTGGCAGCCTTTGTGCTCCGAACTCTGTGTGGGGCTTTTCGGTTTTGGTTTTTGGATTATGATTTTTTTGGGTTTTTTTTCCCACAAGAGCTCTGCCGCCTCTACTGCTGTTTCATTGATGCCTTGAGCAGAGCTGGCATGTGCGACTGCTGAGAAGGGGGAGCGCGGAGCGGCGGGGGAAGCAAGTAAAAATAGCCTGGCGAGCGACGCGCTGCCTGCTCCGGACACCTTTCACCCTCGCCAAGGTGGGAGAGCAGCTGCCACCGGTGCACACTGAGGGAGGGGGAGGATCTGCATCAGACCCCGCTGAAAGGCGGGCTGGAAGAACCTAGGACACGCAAAAACTTTAATTTTTTTTAATAAAGCAAATGCGCTAGGGGTGAGGTGGGACGAAGAGGCGGTGGGGAGCGCCTTCCGGCTTCCAGTGCGCCAGCCACCTGGCTATAGGGATGGTGACGCCGGCTGGCCCAACACTTTACAGAAGCTTGGCCTTGAGTCTCAGCTATTTTTAGAAACCTCTTCTGCTGGTGGGCGAACAGAGGGCAGAGGGGGAGGGGAAAGACTGGCTCGGTCTGCAGGCTGGGTGCCTCGTTTTGCACACCGTTCCTAGCGCCTGCTCTGTATGGGGGTGGGGATGGGGATGTGGCTGGGCACTCACACACGCCGGCTTTGCCCTAACTCCAGGAGCCCCAGGAGCTCTGCGTGCCCAGAGCTCTCACCTTCAGGGCTTGCTGCCAGATGCGTGCTGCTTTTAGTCCTAGAGGGAAGGAGGATTCTTAAAGCTCTGCTGCCTACGCTGTGGGGTTGGGGTTAGCTGCAGAGCTGTGAACTCGAGGAGAGAAGATCGGGAAGGGTCTCGGCATCTTTTTGCATTTCGTCAAGACATAGGGACACCCCGCGCCACACCCCCACTCCGCCCCACGCTGCATATGGGTAACCATATGTGAATGTACGGCAGCCCCACAGACGCCTGGCTATTAATAGCTACTGGAGTTTGTCCCTGAGCCTTTTTCCTGCCGCCAAGTAAGGGACGATCACACATACCCCACTCCGCCCCCACTCGGCGCACCGTTCCTCCGGGAAGGTAAGGGGCTGCCCACGCCGATGCCCCCCGTGGCCACAGGTTCCCAGAGCCCACGCAACAGCCCGATGGCTCTAAGGACAGTGGGTTGTGAGACGGGCCAAGGGACACAGCTTTGAGTCTCTGAACGGAACGCCCAGCGGGACTCTGCGGCTCGGGTGAACAGAGAGGAGCGAAAGGGCTTATCCCCGCGGCGCGGCTCGCGTTTGCGGAGCAGGACGAGCTCCCGCTCCGGAGGCGGCCGCATTCGGTGCCCCCTCCCCCACCCAGGCCCGCTGCGGCAGCGCGGCTGCTGTCCCCGGTGCTGAAGCCTCTGATGCCCCGCGCCCCCCGCGCCGGAGGACTGCGCACCTCTCCTAGCTCGGATCTGGGCGGCGGTGGGATAGGGGGAGGTTTGGCCCTGAGGGGCGCCTAAGTCCTAGCACAGGCTTAGTGGCGCGGGAAGCCGAGGCCAGGACCCCCTGAAGCTCAAAGGGTAGAGCCGACCAGCGGTCAGGGAGGGTCGTGAGACTGCTTGAGGGAACAGACCCTGCCCAGCAACTACCAGAACGCAGCCCCGCGCAGCGCAGGACGCCGGGGAAGGGGCAGGGGCAGCGGGTGACAGGAAAACGTGAGGGGGCAAGAGCGACTCTTGGATTTTCAAGAGGGAGGGGACCTGAGACCTGCACCGACCCCCCCCCCCGCAGCATGTACACACGGGCGCGCACACACGCGCGCACACACACGCGCGCACACGTACACACACACCCGGCCGGCGGCAGCCAGCGGGATGGAGCCGGAAAGTTTGGCACTGGGCTCAGGGTGGCAGCGGCGCGGGCCGGGGGCGGCGGCTGGGGACCGGGGCCAAGCCGAGCAGGGGTCCTGCGCCCTGGTGCCCGCTTACCTCGGCGCTCTCGGCTGCGTTCTCCGCCATCTTCCTCCGGAGGAGCAGGCAGCGGGAGGAGTGTTTCATGCCCATAAGCGCCAGCCAGGGTTCGGCGATACAGAGATAGTAGAGAAAACGAGGGAGCTGGTGTCGCTTTAAAAGAGAGAGCCAAGGAATGGACGAGGAAAAAAAAAAAAAAAAAAAAAAAAAGAAAAGAAAAAAGAAAATCCCAGCCCCTCCGCCGAACGCCGGCCGCACGACCAGCCGCGGCGGAGTCCTCCCAGCAGTCCCGCACTTTGTTTTCTTTCCTCCTCGCTGCTCTCGTTCCTTCGCACACTTGCAAGTTCCCGGCGCCCGACCCCGCCCGCCCCTCTCCACCCGCGCTGGGGGCGCGCAGGAGGCGGCAGCCCAGGGCTCCCGCGCGGCAGCTCGCGAAGTCCGGCGGGTCAGGCGGCGCAACTCCGCTCAACTTCTGTCCATCGGCGGGGAACCGCGTGCCCCACGCGTCCCTCCGGGGGCTGAGCTGGGTGAGTGGGGGAGGGGAGGGAGCCCGGCGGGGCGGGCCGCTGGGTGCAGATCGCG